AGTGAAACGATTAGAGAAAAGGGGGAACTATTACCGCGCCTTGTCAATCCCACTGTTTGAGTTACTCAGTCATGATTTTTTTGTGGGCAAGTATGTGTGTGCTTGTGCATGTCGGACATCTCCCTCATTCACTCTCTGCCTTATTTTTTTGAGACAGGGTCTCTCATGGAACCCAGAACTTAACACAAATTTGGCAAGATTAGCTGGCCAGCAAGCTCCAAGGATCCACCTGTCTCTTCCTTCCCAGTGCTAGGATCACAGGCATAAACCGCCACACCCAGCTTTTTGTATGGCTGCTAGAGATCTAAATTGAGGTTCTCATACTGGTGTGGCAAGCACTTCATTGAGTCATCTCCCCAGCTGCCTCCATAAATGCCCTCACCTCATTTTTTAATTCCAAGTCATTAAGTGAGGCATAGTTTATCAGTGAGTCTGAGAATTGAGTTAAATAAATTGAAACACTGCCTTGGACTGTGGTAAATTTATTACTTTGAGCCCTTTCAGGAGAATGCCAGTCTGCTTCCCTAGGCAACATCCTCAGCCAGCCTTCTCTTCCTGTGTTGAAATGTGTGTGCTCACACAGCACCACTAAGCATTTACAACTAAGTGTTACCTGCTTGAATTTCTCATGAATTGGAAGTCCAAGCATTCTTCATTCCTGAAGGCCAGGCAATCGTGTGGATAAGTAAATGGAAGCTTCCAGGAATGGATAGATGGCTTCTGAGTTCATCTTCCCAAGCCTTAGATTCTGAGTACTTTCTTGTTTTTCCATGGAGATAGGAAAGTGATGATTCCTCAGCCTTCTGGTCATCCTGACCACTCACTCCCGCATACTCAGTTTCGCAAACGTATCTTGAGTGACAGCCACTTGCAGGGTACCAGAGAGGACACCCACAGTTCATAGATCTCTGACTGTGGTCACAGATGCTGCAGAATTGTTAAAGACGGAGCCATGAGGTCCTTTAGGGAAAATAGTGTTAGTGTTATTTCCACCGGTTATGTAATCTCTTTAGAATATTTCCGTATGCTCGCTTTGTTCTTGAGAAAAACGATTGATTTCTGTTGCTGCAGCTAAGCATTTGACAGGGGCCTTGCCCGTGTAGATGACTGTGTGTGGGGGCGGGGGGCTATCTTACTGGCGTTCCTGCCCACGACCAGCCCAGTGAGCCTCACTTGTGAAGTTCAGACTGCATTCTCTGCCGCCACCATCTGCCAGTGTCCACCCAAAGCCTTTGTGCCAACTGTGAGGACTTACCTTTCTGTGGTGTGGTGCCAGGGACAGGCTGACTGTTCCTGTGTGGAATACTGTAAACCGGGTGACTTTTTCTCAATGTGAATCCCAGGGTGCGGGTGAAAATCTCTCAGGATTCATAGATCCTGCCTATAAAAACATGATTGTCTGCCAAGTCCAACTGCCAAACTCTCAACATTTGTTATAGTTTCCCTCCCTGGCAATAATGGCTGGTCCTGATGGTGAGCTGCCACCACTCACCAGCTTTACGTAGCTGGCATTACACTGTAGCACACATTTCTACGCAGAACGGGTAGCAGGCACAGTGTGTACTTTCCAAGACAAAAAAGAGTCCAGGAAAAAACCTCTGCCCACTGCATTACATTAACTGTCTTGTTTAAAATGAATTGACTCTTGCTCTGGAAAAATCTGTGTATCCTCACATTTGCCCAGCTCTCACAGGATGGTGCCAAGTTGGCACCATTCCCCATTTGGGTGTGGCCGTGTAAGGTGGGCATTAGTAGAGGTCTGTTCAACACCCGTAATTTTCGCGCTCTTTCAGTCACTTGCATCTGGCATATAGAATCACCTGGAGCATTCAAATTCAAATGTCTACGCTTGGATTTCTGCTTCCATTGCGTTGAAAGCGCTGGGCTGTGTCTGATCGGCCACGAGTATAGGAACCATGGCGTGAGATCGCTGTTATGTTTTCCAGTGCATAAAGCGAGGCGGTTTTCGATCTGAATGTCGGTACCCAAATATAACACCCACCGTCCTAGTGATTTCTTTGAATGCAGCAGGTGTTCGGCAGCATCAGCGACCCAGGTGATAGACATAGCTCAGTGTCTCCAAAAAGGCTTAGAGTAGTCCTGAGGGACCACAATAGACACACATTTCCTACCACTGCTAAGACAAGACAACTACCCAAAGAAGCAATATCACAGGCTTCTAAAGGGGACAGAAGCGACTTGTCTGGTATCTGGGAGTTAAGTCAGGAAGTACATCCAGTGTAGTACAAATTTGAGTTTCACAGTTATTGTAGCTTCCTCAACTTAGCCTCCTAATAAGATTCCTAAACATAAATTCAGTATAAATGCAGAGAGGTTTAGGGAGAGGTTGCTTCTGGTTTTTTTTTTTTAAAGTGTTTATAGAAAGCATTTGAAAATGTGTTCATATTCAAATGTTATCTTGTACATGTGTGTATTCATGTACACACAGAGAGAGAGACAGAAGCTGAAGTATATAACTAAGTGTGGTCTTGGGTCAGTTATTACCAAATAGGCCAAGTTTCTCCCCAGTAAACAGTCTCTTGCAGCTGTGGATGTTGGCACCACCCCATCCTCAACAGGGAGTCATTTTTGCTGGGAACTGTCAGGGAAACTCCCTTGCCTACTTCTGGTCAGCTCCCCATGACAAATGAAAAGTAAGCCAGTTCTTAGCGACAGGGTCAGAGCCTCACGTCTCCTAAATGAAGCATGCGCTTTTTGACGCCTTTACCGCATCTTTTCCTCCCATCTTTCAGAATGTGTAACTGAAGCTTGTCAGTATCTATGGTGTCTTCCACTCTTTCCTGTAAAGACATTGCCAAGTTTTGTAGGGTTTTTCTTTTTGTTTTTAAACATAAGTTTGTGCTTATCTATTGGATTGAAGTCACAAGTACTTAGTCATTCATATAATCTATTCGGTGTCGTGTAGATTAAATTAGAACTGTTAGCCCCAAGAATCTTGACTATTGTAATTACCTTTGCATGGTACGTTCACGGCGGTGCCTAGAATGGTGTGTTCAGGGACACTATAATGGGGTCACTGGGAAGCACAAATAAAGGCATTCTAAAGACACCGAACAGAGGACCGTGGGGATGGTGAGGGGAAAGCAGGTAATACGCAACAGTCAGATTGGCTCAGCACAGACCACAAAGGAGGAGGGATGGTAAGAACACATTTACAGTAGAATTGTAAAGGGTTCTCCACATACGACAATACAGGTGAGCTCACAGGGTTTCAAAAAGAGGGCGAGCATTGTGGGTGTGGTTCTGCAGTACAGTATGAGGCCCTGGGCTCAGTTCTCAACAGCTAAAATAAACAAGAGAAGCAGGGTGAGTCTGTCGGTGAAGACTGGAATTTCTTGTGCCCATGATACTGTGGCTCCCTGTAGGTGCTATGCCCAGCACAGCACCAAGGATGAATTCAGAAACAAGGACATGGCCTTTTGCAGGAGAGGTAAAACCACCAGCTTAGAGAATAAGGTGCTTAATAGGCATAGTGTTGCACAACTTTAATGCCAGCACTCAGGAAGAGGAGGCAGGCAGATCTATACAGTCTCCATGTTAGCCACAGCTACTACATGGTGAGACATCTCTGGGAAAGAAAAGAAGGTATTTAGCAAATTCAGAAAGGAAATCTCGACTGTTGACAAGTTTGGGGACGCTTGAAGGCTGAGGGGTGGCTCTATCTTCTGGAGAATGGAGGCTGGGGTGATACCTGTTGTGTTCCTTCGTGCTGAATCTTTGTGCAAGAGCGCATTCTCACAAAATGTCACCAACATGAGCCCAAACCTGAGCTGAACAAAGAGGCCATCAGTGGGCATGCCAAACTGGAAGGCAAAAGCCCAGGAGGGCCTCAGCCCTACACAAAGGACTACAGACAACTGAGGGATGCTGGGAGCCGGAGAAAGGGAGGAGGAGCCCCCCAGGGAAGAGCATGGCAGTCGGTTGTCCAGTGTCCTGAAAACGTGCACACAAGTAACATTATACAGACTTAACAGGTTGCATATATGCTGGCAATAACTGTGTGTGTGTGTGTGTGTGTGTGTGTGTGTGTGTGTGGTGGGGGGTCAGGGTCAGTGTCTGTGCATGTTGAACCCAATGAACAGCATCCTTCAGATGCTGTTCACTTTCTTTTGGGACACGGTCTCATTAGGACCTGGGCCTCACCAGTTAGCTAAGCCAAGCGTCAGGAACCGGTCTGCCTGTCGTCATGCCGCTCCGGTGCCGGCATGGCAGGTTCACACAACCATACCTCCCGCTTTTGTGACGTCACTTCTACCCAGGTCCTCACGCTTTCCTAACAAGCACTTTACCTGCTGAGCTCTCTCTAGTCTTCCAAAAGTAAATAATTTTAAATAGAGTCTTCTTTTTAAAAAACGTGTTATAAATAATGTTCCTGAGGTTTACTTTTTAAAAAAAAGTTAACACAAAACCTGAGCCTGTAGAGCCAGAGGCCACTGTCTTGTGGACAGTGCTGTAAATATGTCTCTGCTATGAATGAAGCACGCGGAAAGTTATTCCAAAGTGCAGACTAAAGGCACAAGTTGGTCCTGACCAAAAAGTTTCAGCAGTGGTTAAAAATGCCTCCTCAGCAGGCTTTCCTTGTACAGTGCAGATCTCTGCAAACTTCTGATCAGACAAAAACAAGCTTATTTCTTTATTCAAGTTAATGCTGCCCATACTTTGATTATACCACGTAATTGGGGTAAATAAATTGTTGGTTAGAAGTTCTACCAACATGAGTTCTACTCCACACCAAACAACCATGCCCTTCCAATAAGAAATAATAGAAATATTAGAGAAGTCTAAAGTTCATTTTTTATGGATGTCAGTAAAGGATAAATAGTGACAAGTTTTACCTTGAAAGCATTTTCCAGGAGTAATCTTTTCCTTAGACATGGAAATGTGCTCACACCTTGTAAGGATGAGACGTGGATCTCCTTTAGCAAAATTTACTTTTTTTTTTTTTATCACTTCCTTTTCTTTCTGTTTCTGGTTTCCAGGCCCTGATTATATCAAGCAAAGATTTCAGGAAGGGGTAGATGTTAAAGAAAATCCAGAAGAAAAGGCACCAGAAAAGCCACCATCGCCAAAGGAATCCCCACATTTTTATCGCAAAGGCACGACACCCCCCAGGTCTCCTGAGGCAAGTCCCAAACAGAGCCACTCCCCACAACCTCCCTCCCCGAAGCCCACGAAGAAACAAAACCCCGGCTCAGGGGCAAGACTCAGTCAAGATAAACGGAGCGTGACTGAGGAGCAGGTGACAGCCATTGTCAATAAGCCCTTGACGTCAAAGGCTCCTTCCAAGGAACTCGGAGCAACAGTGTCCAAGTACTCTGGCCGCCACCATGTTCCCAACCCCAGCAACGGGGAGCTGCACTCTCAGTATCACGGCTACTATGTGAAACTGAACACGCCCCAGCATCCTCCAGAAGATGGGGAGGATGACCTCCATGGAGCCAACCAGCCTTCCTCAGCACTGGTATACAGGCCCTCGCCCAACAAGTGGAGTTCCCCTAGATCTGTGACAAAATCAGCTGCCAAAGAAAGCAGAGCTGAGCCAAAAGCCAAGAAGTCTGAACTTGCTATACCAAAGAATCCTGCAAGCAGTGATCCCTGCCCTCCTTCGGAAAAAGAAGCCAATTCAGTAAGTCTCGCAAGAACCCTTCCCTTGGGTTTGTCCGTGGAGCAGCGCGGGGTGGGTTATTTTCCATCTTGACCACAGCTAGGCCGACAAGGATCCACTATGTTGTTAGAACTGAGCATGACATGTTTATAGCTCATGATAGCAAATAGTTCTCTGGTCAGGAATTCTGAGCCTACTAAGGCACCCACTATACACAGTTCAGATAGGGCTAAGGCCTGGCCAGCCAAGGATGGTCTCGACAGTTAGGAAGTATCAGTGTGTCTTAGTAATTACCTACTCAGTGGCCCCTAGAAGGGAAACATGGCCACTGCCCACAGCTGGTGCCTCTCTGCTTAGCAATGAGGAGCTCCGAACCTCCCTTGTCTTCACACAAAGGACTATCATCAGCAGCCACGGTAAATTCTCATAAATGTGTGATCTGTATTTTACTTAAGTTCTGCAATAAGAATATTTTTATCCCCAAATGAGAAGCTTTTTATGACAATGTAATGACTTTATAACTCATCTCCAGGGTGTGTATGCTTCTAGATTCAGCTGTCTAATAGATACTAACCATTGATGTGTCTTGGGCAGGTGAGATTATTTGAGGGGGGCAGTAAGATGTGTTATTGATAAATGTCTACTACATGGCCCTTGACATGCCTTGATTTGGTGAGTACCATATAGAACTTGGATTTTATCAAGTTCAGAGAATTTATGGGATCTGAAGTTTTTTAGAATCTCTTTTCTAAAGGGACTGATTTAAAATAAAGTGACACGTTAGCTTAGTCCTGCATGCCTCTGGGTGGTCAGGTTCACTATGAAATACGTAAGACATGGCCTCTTAATGGGTACTGGCAGCTTCAGAAACAGGTATATGAAAGGCTGAACTGTAAACTTGGCCAAGTAGATGGATTATAGACTAGCTTAGCTTAGCTTTGTTCCTTTTATTCATGGAGTTAAACAATTAAAATTCATTTTTTGAATAAACTCATGTTAACTTTTGCTAATATATGTACATATTAACATTGGTTATTTTTTCATTCTTCACTTTTTCATTAGCTAAATATAAATTAAAGACAGACCACTATAAGGCATTTTGATTATTTAGTAAGCATTTGGTTTTTAAAGTGTTTGAACAACGATAAATCGTTATCTGTTATTACAATTCTACCTCTATCAGTCCATTGCATGAAACAACTAATTCTCAGACATTCAACTTGAATATTTATGAATAAGGCTTCATGGAAATACCATCTGCCTGATTAACAAGGGGCAAATCTGAACAGTACCATCATTCCATCAGTGTTATGCCTTTGCCTGCCCAGTAGGGCATTTAATTTTCCAAATACCACAAGGGAAGAATGTGCCCATCATCCCCCTCATCAGCCTGTGATGGGGGGGGGGAATCAATGCTGTAACCCTATAAACCTTTCTCTGTAGTAGCACTGTGTGTTTGTAAACACGTCTCCACTGTATTTAGGAAAAGCATAGGTTTTACTAATGTGTAGAATCTGCTGGTTCTTGAAGTAAGCCAAGCAACTTCCAACTCGGGTTCACTGATCAAAATGCAAGCTACATATATATGAGATGGTCTCAGCATCCATTCCTCTGCCTTGAAGTTCAGGCTGCCCTGGGAATGACCATCCAGACCTGGAAGGCAGGATCGACTTGGCCCTCAGTGTGAAAATTGCTGCCTCTCTAATAGCAGCACGGAGCCCTCTTCGCTGGAGTTAGGGAAGTAACACATCACTGTCAGAGTAGCCAGTGGGTGACCATGGAAACGGTGCAGTGATATCTACTTGTCCAAGGCCCTGCGCAAGTTCCACGCTTATAACGGTCTACAATCCATAGAAATGTTCACACCAGAGCAGGCTCTAGGGAATGCCCATAATAAATGGGCCAGTACTCTCGGTGATTAGAGGTTATGTTCCTAATGCAATTCTGGAGAGAGTAAATGCTCCGAGGGAGGAGTTATTATCATTATCAGTGACATACTGGTTGAAGTGAGAATTGGGTACAAGTGGCTCCATACACTCTGTTTCTTCACCTTTACCCTGGACCAGAAAGTCTTGTAGAACACATACTAACAGAGGAAATTAAGTAGGCGGTAGGCTCCTTCCTGTAAGAATTGCAGCCCTCCAGGAGAAACTTGTAGCAGCCTGTAGGGTCTGCAGGGTCAACTTGAGCTGGATATCTCCTATTTTGACTTCCTCTGTTTTTATTTTCCTAACTGCCTGAAGGTTTCTCCTGGTCTTTACTTATCGTTGGCCTTGCTCCCTGTCACACCTGTCCCAGTCAGTCTGAGCAAATAGGACTAAGCTTTTCTTCATTTTGCTATTTTAAGCCACCACTGGCCACCACAATCATATTCATGGGACTTCACCATAGAGCTTTTTCACCCGGTGACCTGCCTACGGTGTCTGAAGAAAACCAAGGCCACAGCTTGCTACCCACCTTTTAAACACAGCGTCCCCAGCTTTTCATTTCCACCTGGCGGCTGCTGCGGCTGGGGCCTCCCATTACTGGTCTCTACGCTCGTCTTCCCCGAGTCGTCTTTTAAAATAGCTCCCTGACTGCAGCTACACTGGCAGGGTAAATATGCCTGCATATTGGCACATGTACCGGATAAATACATGTGTATGTGGTAAAGCATCCATTCATCATTCCTTGGTGCCAGATTAGAGGTAAAATGAGATATGGGATGAAAGACAGCAAATAAGCCCAACCCGAGACAACTTACAAACCCAGGGTACTAGTCCATTCAATAGACTTCATGTAAATGCACAGAACATTACACCAGGGTTTGTAAAATGGGAGTCAAAGATTCGCACAGAGCGTCAGTTTGTTTTGGTTTCCCTTTTGCTGGGATCAAGCCCAAGGCCTGCCTTATGTGAGCCAGGTGGGTATTACACACCCAGCCCTGTCTTCAGTTTTGGATGCCGGTTTCAGAGGCACTCGCTGGCTGATTCTGTCCTGAGTCCTCTTCAGACTCTGGACTCCACATGGTTTTGTTCTAACCCAGTATGTTTTTCTCCATCCTTCATGCACCCATTATCTATGAGAGGAATCAAATGCACTAGCCCGGAATTGAATCCCAAATTGTGGGCACTCACGAATAAAGTCTAAGCAAAGCACAGAGTAGGCATAACATTGCTGTGAAAGGTTATCACTAGGATTTTGAGTTCTGAAAGTTTCTACTTCTTAAGCTTAAGCTTGCCTTGGTTTGGTTGAGAAGTTGCGAGGAACAGAACTCACCATTTATTGCAACCAGCCTCGCTCCATAGTCCAGCCTAGCTCTAAACTGATGGCATTTCTCCTGTGTGCTAAGATTCCGGCGTGACCCACCATGCCTGGCTCACCTGTGAACCGAGTAGTTGGAAGTTAGTAAGATTTTGTTTCCCTGATATAGATGAAAATGCTACCTTGAACTGTGTTAGAAATCGCTTTTTAAACTAAGGTCTGAGCTTTAGCAGAGTTAGCGAAAAGAGCCCAAAGCACCCAAGTGAAAGCCTGACATTTAACCCTGGTTCTAAAGAACCTTGATTCGTAAATAGCCTGTAAATATTCTGATACACTTATCCTCTTGAAGCCCTCTAGACGGGAACTAATAATCTCATGTGAAGAATAAATAAGAGCTAAGTGATAATCTACTTAGAGATGCTTGGTCTACTGCCGAGCATTTAAAACATGTTTTTTTCTTCCATCTACGTGCGGCTTAAGAGATGGGGGATGGCTTCTTCCCCGTGTCCCTCCCTCCCTCCCTCCAAGGCCCTGTCTTCAGTCCCCATGACCCACTTTACTAACAAAGCGTTTGCTCTTTAATGCAGTGAGTTCGCCTGCTTTGTTCAACATCCAGACCACCAGCACCTAGGGATATGCTAGAAAGCGGTGGGTTGTCCTTGAACGCTGGCTCCGTGGAGGATCTGGATGCCCCAGGAGTCAGGCATGAGGGACATAGTGAGGACAAAGTCAACATTGTTACCGTGGCGCCGAGTCTGTGTGGAGAGAGTGTGCACCGAGAAGGGGGTTGACAATAAAACGTGGCAAGGGATACAACGGAGAAAGCCCAGGGCGCCCTGACCTCCACCAGATAGCTGCCATCCACAAGCACAGGGTAGGGATGTCCTTCGGTCAGTGATAGGTGACCTAAACCAAGCTCCCACCTGGAAGATGAACACTTGACCAGACTTCCTTACTATTGAATCCTGTCACCAGAGAAGGTACATGTGATGCCCCCCGTCACCTTGTTTTAGCACAGACGTATTTGGTACTGGGCGTGTGGCTGGTTCCTTTTGTGTAAACTTAATTAGTAGAATAATTAACTTTGACTGGAGAGATGGCTTGCAGTTAAGAGCACTGCCACTCAGACAGAAGACCCGGGTTCAGTTACTAGCACTCACATGGCAGCTCACATGGCAGCTCATACCCACTTGTAATACTGGTAGATCCAAAGCCCCCTTCTGGTATCTGTGGGCACGTGTAGGAGGCGCAGAGGTCCTATGTTCACAGATAAGCACTGGGGGACACAGGAATGGTAAACACAGAGGGTTGTCTCTTTTAGTGGAGAGATATAAGCTATTTTCTGCCCAGGAGGCTGAGTGGATGTGACTGAGAGCCTGGTAACTTTTCACTATCTCGTGTAGCTGAGACCACACTGGATCTTCCTCCAGACCCTCGTCTTGAGCTTTTCTTCTCAGTTATCTACTGAACCCATGTTTTAGGGCTGTACAACGCATTTTTCAATGTGGTTAAGTCTTAAGTTTTGCTATACTACAAGACTGAGTTAATTAGCACCAGTAAGCTGCTTCCAAATTGCACTGTGCTTAAATAGTCCTAAAATAAACTACTCAAGGTCAGACTCTCAAACTTTGAACCAACACCGACTACTGAATCCTGTTGAGCCAGACTGCCTTCTTGCCTCTCACAGATCAACACTCTATAGGTCATGGTATTTGCAGAGACTTCCCACACACACACACACAAGCACATACATCCATTCAGGAAACATGTTCATACACATGAAAATAAATTTTCCAAAAGCCAATTCATTTACCTACAACATAAAGGCAGTCTAGAACAATACTGTTTTATACCAAGATCTTATACTTCTAATAAAGATGGATTCTTCAGGCTGAGCCTGTAACTCATCTGGTAATTTTCCTAGCATGGGCAAAGCTGTGTTCAATCCTCAGCGGCACATAAAGCAGGCTTGGTTGAGATACGCCCCTAACCCAGCACAGTGGGATGTATAGAAAGGAGGATCAGAAGTTCAAGGCCATCCTCAGCTACATAATGAGTTCCAAGGCCAGTGTAGGACACACAAGGCCTATAAAAACAAAAGCACCTGAATGTTTTCCTGGATTTCTCTAAGGAGAGGAATAATTTCCTATAATTTTATTCTCATTTTCTAACGCCTTGATGAGAGACTGCCCTTCCCTTCTGAATCTGTCACACCTGAACAATAACTATGTATCCAAGTCCCACAAGCTCCCAGCTCCTTTCCAGTGACCTTTCCCAAATGAGGCCACCAATTGCGTGGGATGAATAGAGTAAGTTATGTCAGAAAGAAATTTTTGAGATGAGGTCTCACTGCGTAGCCTTACTGTCTAAAACTGACTCTGGAGACCAGACTGACTTCGAACTCACAGACCTCTGCCTGCCTCTGCTACTGGAGTGCTAAGATTAAAGGTGTGCGCCACCACACCCAACTTAAAAACAGTGTTTAACTTAATTCAGATCTAGATTTTTAGTGGAAGTTGAACAGTGACCCCATCTAAAGGTAACCTCGTCCCTGTTTTTAGCTCACACCTTTTGGGAGGGCTGTTGACTTTCATGCCTTAGTTTCTTCAGCCATGTTTGCATGCTTTTATTTCTGGTAATCGCTTCCGGTGCTGGATTGGTGTCGAGTAGCCATACTGACGTGGGAACACTGCGTGTTCTGTTCTGTTTTCTCCTTCAGGGCCCTAATTCCGTCATGATTGTCCTGGTCATGCTGTTGAACATCGGGTTGGCCATTCTTTTTGTTCACTTTCTGACTTGATTGGAATTAGGAAAGGTAAGCATAGCCTTAATCTCCGTACAGAATTACAACAACATTGTTTTCTCTGATTCCAATTTACATTTTTTTTTTTTTTTAAACAATGACATTGCCTTTCACTTTAATGCTGGCTGTACCTGAATGTCACTCAGTACGGTTATTTAATGATGTAACTGTTGACCCGTCAGTGAAGTCTGACAACTAGTGGAGTTAGCCCACAGTACTGCCATGGTGTCCTCAGCCATTTAAACAACATACCCCAGGCAGACTCAGGCAAGGAGGCTGGAATTGGGATGGGATCACAAGAGAGATGAAACTTGGGAAAAGGAGCCAGAGGACCTGTTCAGTTCCCCCAAGAATGCTTTGTGTTTTTCGGGGTCCCCTGGGAGCTGAAGCGCACAGCCATGGTGCAGAGCAAAGCTTAATAATGATTCTTTTTTAAAATCTGCTGAAGCAGCCCTATCCGGTGAAGTTCTTGGCATTGGCTGCTCCATCTGTCCTAGCAGAGTGCGACTAAACTGGAAACGTATGGACCGGCAACTTTTTTTTTTCTTCTTCTTGATGGAAGTCAACAGCTGCCTTACTATTTTACCATCTGACGTTTTTAGTAGGGAGCTGGGGAGAGAAGACTGGCCAAGGAATGCGGGCCGAGGATTGTGTTGCGGTGGGCGCGGTTCCAACATTCACTGCTATCTCATTAGAAGAAGTAGGCGGTGGTAGCGTCACTCAGCGGTCTTCTGCAGTGACCTGCTGCTTTTAACGTCTCCTGGAATGTTCTGGGGGGGAAAGTTACATTTGCTTGTGCACGACTCTGCTCATGTTTGCCGTTTATTTAAATAGGATGTATAAGTCATCTTCCACCTGCAGTCCTGGCCGGACGAAAACACACAGGTTGCATCTCAAGGAAAAGTAACAAAAAAAAAAAAAAAAAAAAAAAAATAGCGCTGTTTATTTTGATAGCAATACGTCATCTTTGTGTTGTTTATTCTTTCTACGCCAATAAAGAGCTATTTATCTTTAAGATGTAGAGGTCTGAAGGTCTCATATCTTCCAAAGAAATAATTTAATTTTAAATATTTTTACCGTTGCTGAGGTGAAGGGTTGGCGCACTCAGGAGGTGCTTGCTTCGTTTTTTAACGCTGAAGAAGAGAAGTGTAGTCAGAACGTTGCATGGATTGCAGTAATCAGTGGCTAAGGGTCCGGTTTCATTGCTGACGTACGTTACAACCAAATAAAATCTGGTCAGTGGCTGTGTCAATTCCCATGAAAGTTAAGCAAGATGCTATTAATAGCTCCTCTCTTTCTCCTCCCTGCCCCCTGACCCAACCACACATTTTGATTGAATGCATTCAGGTAGATGATGAAGCTCTGTTAAGTCCATGCCCCCCCCCCAAATTCTCTGCCTTCAACACTTTTCAAAGTTGCTTTGTAATTTTAAATTTTAAAGACATAGATGGTTTTACTTTAAATATCTGTCTTTTGCTGTCCTGTTTCGTTCTGGTGTTGCTTTATCATTATTTTATTATTATTATTATTACATAATCTACTCAGAAGCATGCTTACCTAGAGAAACTATGGGATATTATATTAAAAAAAAAACTTATTCAAAAAGAAATCAGGGGAAGAAAGGTATGTCTGAGTCTCTTGAAGGCCTAACTGCTCTAGATCTCAGCCTTGACGTCATGGTGTCAGCCGAGTCTCTCACCCTTAGCTACCTTCTCAGTACAGGAGGGACAGTGTGTAATTCCAGTATCAGCACAGGTATGGGCTGCATGCATCACCACCTGCGAGGTAGTAACCCAGTGGTGGTTTTGTTTTTTGTTTTGTTTTTTTTTTTTTTTTTCAGTTTTTGCAGAAGTGCAATATATTAAGACTCCTGGGTGTGACCAACATGGATTAAATAAGGCAGAAAGAGAGCAATGGAAATAAAATTACGACTTGTATATTTATTTTTTACATTTTGCTTTGACTTTTAAATTTAGAAAGTCCATTTTTACTCAAGAACAAACTAAGTCCCTGTGTGGATCTCCACATTCTCTTTGATCCTTCCTACCCCTGTAGCTCCTTATGCTCGGAAGTTGAGGGGTTTTGTTTTGTTTTGCTTTTCTAAAGAAAATAGAATATTTAATCTTAAGTGTTTATTTAAATGTGTAATGCTTTGAAAATAATGGGCAACAGAGAACTAAAGGATGTTTATAAAGTGAGCATGTTGGCTCCATTTATAAATATATATATGATTTATAAGCTTTTTTAAAACAAAGCTCAAATTGTGGGTATTTTTCTAAAATGTGCACAGCTGTATTTTCCATGAAGGATCTTTCTAATAGGTTGTTATACTGTACTCTACATTTTGGACAGCACATGAAGTCTGCCAATGTACTTAATAAAACATGACTTTGCTATTTAAAGTTTCTTGCTGTGAAAAAGAAATCCCTGCCAGTGAGTTCCTTAATTTATATAAAATCCTTGACACCAAAATGTTTAATGTACAGTTTCCACAACTGGAACTGCTCTAATAAAAAAAAATGTTGGTTATTAATAAAGTTTGTGGTGTCTGCCTTTCCTTTGTGAGTAAATTCTTGTCTAAAGTGTGTGGATTTTAGTGATGATGGTATTAAAAGACACCTCAGATAGGGACATGGGCTTAGCAGGTTTAGGCGCTTGCTGCCAAGCCTAACGATCCGTGTTCAATCCCCAGGGCCCACATGATGGAAGAAGAGAACTGAATCCTGAAAGCAGTCCTGTGACTTCCACACACAATGCCTTGGCATGCCTGTGTTCACACACATACATGCCAACAAATAAAGAAGTGTAATGACTCTTGCTAATTTTTTTTTTTTTTTAACCAAGTGATGAGAGTTTTGTTGGAATGTTGGTGGGGGTCGTATTGAATCTGTGGCTTTCTGGGTAGCGTAGACAGTTTATTATGATAATTTTATTTTATGCCATAAGTAAGGTATATTCTTCGATTTATGACGCGTATGTAGAACACTGTATTGCTGTCCCCTTTCTGTAGGACGTGGCCATCACCATTTTGAATCAAAGTAGCTGTGGTCACCATAGCGCACCCACAAGTTCAGGAAGAGGAGGGAACTGTCACAGCCTTCATGGACCTCCTTCCATGCCCAATATAATACAGAGGGCAGCAAATGCCTGGGTGGGAACTGCTCTGTAACATAGCTGTTATAACATGTCAGGATCTAACTGACTCCAAGCCACCTACAGTTCTGTAACTAAGCCCAATAAATTCGTTTAAAAAAGAAAGATATTTAATGAAAAAAGTACAGAAGACATGTGCTGAAAAATTAATAGAAGGGGATAAAATGCCCAGCCCAGCATTGGGGCAGAAAGTAGGCACACTGCTCCACTCCAACGACTTGACTTTTATACTGGGACCCTTTTTTTTTTTTTTTTTTTTTTTTGTTTTTTGTTTTTTTTTTGTTTGTTTGTTTGTTTGTTTTCCAAGGGATGCTTTATCCTACCACAGGGGCACTTTCTCTACCATGTGCACAATGTGTATGGTGTGAAGGACTTAGCATAATGCTTCATTATCCTTTGATGTGCACCGTGCCTTCCTGGATATCCCCTTGCTTTGTGGCTTGATTTTCTTCTAAGATTTCTGTGCAATGAAATAGCGTCCATGTTTTCTTTAGAAATCAGTGTTAACTAACCTAAAATATCCTAGGATAGCATGCATTGGAGTTTGTTGGTTTGTCCAAACTGTTAACAATCTACCTCCTTTTGGGTAGACATTCTAAAGAATACTGGTTACCAAGGAAACACCCCAACCTCCGTGCCAGCCCTCCCAACTTCTCAGGAACTTTACCCTGCTGTGTGTTCAGTACAAACCCACAGACCCTGAGCTCTGCCTTGTGCCTAACCATAGTGCCTTATGTGTCTCCCCAAGCCAGATGCACGCTATGGCCAATGTGCTTTAACAAATGGGTCAGAAGTATAAGAAGCTGGGTAGGGAAGATTACTCAGTGGGTAATGTTTGCCACAAAAGCATCCTCAGGACCCACACAGAACCTACGACTACAGATGTTTGTAACCCAGCTGGGAATAGGGACAGGCGGGCAGGTCCCAAACAGGCTCACTGGCTATCTATCTATTCTAGCCAAAATGCAGAATTGTGGGTTCAATAAAAGTTTATCTAGTCTCTTAGCATCAAGTCCTCTATTCCCCCCCAAAACTTGTGTCCACGTTACAAAACTTGTGGGAGTTATTTTGGTGCCCATGAAATGGGAACCTGAATTTTTATTTTTAAAGCATAATTTTAGTTAACTCCCCTGCACAGAGACCTAATATGCAGTATGGCCTCATTTCAACTAATAGCTTTTTGGTTTTAGTAATTTTTACTTTGCCATCAAATATTTATTACCTATTTAATTCATGCAGTTCAACCAGCTCATGCTCATTAAGGATCAGATCCTTCCTGAAGGAATGTCCTCTGCGTGTGGGACCCTCAGTAGTTCATACAAACAATTGGATTTCTTCTCAAAAGCAGGTGGCAGACAAAAATGCAATGGGTGGTCAGAGGGTACATCTATGCCTATTGCTGCATCTCATATGAGAGGCTCAGGTGTGTTCAGTAATGCTGAAGATTCAGACTGAATACACTCATTCATTAATATCTGTTAAATAACTAAAAAATAACAGTTAAGGTAGGTGAGGGAAGAGTTTGGCAAAGGTCCTGCTTGCTGATGATGCTGGGTTATGGGGATGAATCGGTGCACAGGACCTCAGGATAAGCAGCCATGTATTAACGATCATAGTTTCTAAACTTAATTGTGATAGTTAAGAAGCAGATGGCTGTGGCTTCAAATAAAAAACAGAATCTATTTAATCGGGAAGAATAGCATGGACAGGATAGGATGTTGGATCATTTAGCACTGTGTGGCGCAGCAACTATTCATTTATAACCTCTACGATCAAGTATATGAAGGACAGAACATGGTTAAAAGGCCAGCTCAGTGTCGACAACCAAAGAGTTTATCTCAGATCCTTAGCCACGCTTTCGTGTTTGTCTTTGACAAGTTAACAGGAAATAATTCTGCTCCAAACTTGTACATTAAAGAAATACTGACAGAGAAAATTTGCCAAAACTTTTAGGTCATTAAAATACAGACTTTTCTTTCACCATCTCATGGTACATTGGATACAAGTGTGAAAACACACTCTGAAATGATTTTCAAACTTTACTATATGTTGGAGATACTTTGCTTCACCTTTTATTGGCGTAGTTTCTAAAGAACAAGTCTGAGAACATTCATACCTTTCCTATTGTTCTTGTTGCGTTGTTTGGGTTTGCAGCAGTAGGTACTGGGGACTGAACCCGAGGTCCCATACCTGCTAGGCAGCTGCGCTGCTGTAAGCTGTCTCCCAGTCCTCTATTTTGAGCCAGAACCGCATTATATTGCCCAGCTGGCCCAGAACTCACCCTGCACCAGGGCAGACTTGATTTTGTGATTCTCCTACCCTCAGCCAATAGCCAACCACCAAGAATGACCTAGAAATTTGCACTTCTGACAGTCCCCTGGGTGATGTGACTGGCTCACTGGCTCTCGGCCCTCCTAATGATGCGACCCTTTAATGCAGTCCCTCATTACTTTTATTACTTTTATTGCTACTTTGTAACTAATTTTGCTACTGTTGTGAACATTAATGTAAATATTATCGGAGCTAGAGGCTTGCCAAAGTGGTCAGGACCTCAAGGTTGAGAACCGCTGTCCTAGCACATCCTATTAAGGCTGTTCTCCATAGGGTTCCTGTGTTTAATCAGAGTATACAAGTACCAATGGACGCTTGCATGCATGGACCTCCGCTTGGCTACATAAAGGATACCATAAGGGGAACGAAGATTGAAAAGTAGACATATATAGTAACATCGTTCTTAGTGCTTACAGTAACTTAGTGAGCTAATAACTCTCTCCTCTTGCAAATAAGGACACAGGGGCCCAGAAGGCAGACAGGACTGCTTTATAAAACACAGCTGATAC